CTGTGTGTTAACTTGAGTTTTGAAAACAACGCCTAGATTATGCTGATGGCCAACAACTCATATATATCAGGGTCAGTGTGAGTTTTAGTGAGTGGGTCCATAAAACAGCCCTAGGTAAAGGTAAGTCCATAAAAAGTGAAGAGGTAACAGAGAAAATAGTCTGATTCTGTTTGCTTTATTCTTCATGATAAACATTTTCAAGCAAAAATAAGAGCTAACTCTTCCCAGAAGTATTATATACTTAAAATATTAAGAATGTCTCTCCAAAAACAAAAACAATCCTCCATAACAAGGTTGTGATAAGAAACCAAAAGATAAAAGATGAGGAGACCAAAACTATTCACTGTAATTTTTCAAGAATATCAGTAAGAGCCAAAGAAGTAGTTTGGCCATTCCTAAAAGCAGTTTCATTTCTTTTGTGCTCACTTGGCTTTTAGTTGCACAGATCGGGGGAAAGGAGCTAGTTACATCCCACGTGGACAGTACTCTGATCTATATTAGAAGGATCCTAAGAGGTGACAGAGTCCAACCCACACGTACCTGACAAAAGAAGCTGTATTCCATAACGTCTCACTGGATGCTGACCACTCTGTTTCAAACAACCAGTGACAATATATAAGCTACCTTTTTAAAATCTTTTCTAGATAGCTCCATGAGGTTCTCCATGATCAACTTCCCAACAACCTCATCAGTTTAGTGTCAATGACGCCCTATTACTCACCCAACGCTGCAGCTACAGAGAAGAGGATTTAATGTTTTGTGTAGTAGTCCCTTACTTCTTACTTCTATTTTTGTTGTTCCTTCTGCCTACGATACCCCACGCCAAATATAGCTGCTCACCTCCTACAGGAAAGCCCGCCCTTCTTCAGAGGGCTAGCATGGATACCACCTTCTTCTTGCCATCTCTCATAGCCCCAGCTAGAACTAGCCCACCTCTCGCCTTTGCATTTATATACCATTCTTTGCTTTATCTGAGTTACATCACATATTATTATAATCATCAACTATAGGCCAGGCGCAGTGGCTCACGCCTGTAATCCTAGCACCCTGGGAGGCCGAGGCGGGCAGATTGCTCGAGGTCAGGAGTTTGAAACCAGCCTGAGCAAGAGCGAGACCCAGTCTCTACTATAAATACAAAGAAATTAATTGGCCAACTAATATATATACAAAAAATTAGCCGGGCATGGTGGTGCATGCCTGTAGTCCCAGCTACTTGGGAGGCTCAGGCAGAAGGATCGCTTGAGCCCAGGAGATTGAGGTTGCTGTGAGCTAGGCTGACGCCATGGCACTCACTCTAGCCTGGACAACAAAGTGAGACTCTGTCTCAAAAAACAAAAAAAACCCCTATCTATTAATACCAGATTTCTGACCTAACAGTTTTCAGATTTCAGGGGCAGATGCTCATCTCCCTTGCCTGGTATACCTTAAAAGGCTTCCCACAGAAATGTCAAACTATATTCCAAGAAATGATTATTACTATAAGCAATTGTTAAATGGCTTTATCAAGATATAATCCACATACTATACAATTCACCCATTTAAAGTATACAACTCAATCATTTTTTTTTTGAGACAGAGTCTCTCTCTGTTGCCCGGGCTAGAGTGCCGTGGCATCAGTCTAGCTCACAGCAACCTCAAACTCCTGGGCTCAAGCGATCCTTCTGCCTCAGCCTCCCGAGTAGCTGGGACTACAGGCATGCGCCACCATGCTTGGCTAATTTTTTCTATATATTTTTAGTTGGCCAATTAATTTCTTTCTATTTTTAGTAGCGATGGGGTCTTGCTCTTGCTTAGGCTGGTTTCGAACCTCTGACCTAGAGTGACCCTCCCACCTTGGCCTCCCAGAGTGCTAGGATTACAAGCACAAGCTACTATGCCCGGCCACAACTCAATCATTTTTAGTATTATAATCACAGGGTTATACAAACATTATCACCATCCAATTTGAGAACATTGTTATAACCTCAAAAAAGAAACTCCAGAATTGAATTAGCATCCCCTCTCCACTCCTCCCCAGTCTCACCAGCACTAGGCACTAACCACTAATCTACTATTTCTATGGATTTACGAATTCTGGACATTTCATATAAATAGAATCATACAATATGTGGTCTTCTGTGATTGACTTCTTTCACTTACATAATGCTTCCAAGATTCACCCATGTTATAGCATTATTAGTACTTCACTCCTTTTTATTCCATTGTGTGGATCTACCATGCTTTATTTATCCATCATCAGTTGGACATTTGGATTTTTTCCACTTTTTGGCTGTAATGAATATTACTGCTATGAACATGCATGTACAAGTTTTTGTGTGGGTCCATGTTTTCATTTAAATAGGCATATACATCTAGGAGTGGAATCGTTGCCAACATTTATTATCTGAATTTTTGATTGATTATAGCCATCCCAGTGCATAGTATGAAGTGGTATCTCATTGTGATTTTGATTTGCATTACTCTACTGACTAATGATGGAAAGCATCTTTATATGTGCTTATCAGCCATTTGTCTTCTTTAGAGAAATGTCTATTCAGATCCTTGGCCTATTTGTTAATCAGGCTATTTATCTTTTTATTATTGAGCTGTAAGAGCTCTTCACATATTCTAGTTATAAGTTCCTTATCAGATATATGATTTGTAAACATCTTCTCTCATTGTATGGGTTGCCTTTTTACTTTCTTGCTTGTTTGCTTTATATAGCACATTTCTAGTCTTGATGGAATCCACTTATCTTTTTTCTTTTGTTGCTTGTGCTTTTGGTGTCATTCTAAGAGGCTTTGCCTAACACAAGATCACAAAGATTATGTTTTCTTCCTTCCTTCCTTCCTTCCTTCCTCCCTTCCTCCCTCCCTCCCTTCCTTTCTTCCTTTCATTTTTTTGAGACAGAGTCTCACTTTGTTGTCCAGGCTAGAGTGAGTGCTGTGGCATCAGCCTAGCTCACAGTAACCTCAATCTCCTGGGCTCAAGCGATCCTCCTGCCTCAGCCTCCCGAGTAGCTGGGACTACAGGCCATGCGCCACCATACCCGGATAATTGTTTGTATAGATATTAGTTGGCCAATTAATTTCTTTGTATTTATAGTAGAGACGGGGTCTCGCTCTTGCTCAGGCTGGTTTCAAACTCCTGACCTCGAGCAATCCGCCCTCCTTGGCCTCCCAGAGTGCTGGGATTACAGGCGTGAGCTACGTCACCCAGTCTACTCCTATGTTTTCTAAGAGCATTAAAGTTTTAGCTCTTAAATGGAGTTCTTTGATTCATTTTACTAATAAGTTAATTTTCTCATTCTTTTGCATGTGGCTATGCACTTGTCCCAGAGTAATTTGTTGAAAGACTTTTTTTTTTGAGACAAGGTCCTACTCTGTTGCCCCAGCACGAGGACAAGGGCACTATCGTAGCTCACTGCAGCCTCAAATTCCTGACCCAAGCAATCCTCCTGCCTTGGCCTCCGAAAGTGCTAGGATTATAGGTGAGCCACTGTGCTCAGCCTGAAAAGACTATTCTTTCCTCAATGAACACTTGGCTATAGACATCAGTTTATTTCTGGAATCTCAATTCTATTCTACTAATCTATATGTTTGTCCTTATGCCAGTAGCAAAATGTCTTGATAACCAGAGTTTTGTAGCAGTGATCCTCCCACCTCAGCCTCCCAAAAAGTTGGGACTACAGATAGGTGTCACTGCACCTAGCTAATTTTTATTTTTTGTTGTTATGTTGCCCAAGCTGGTCTTGAACTTCTAGCTTTAAGTGCTCCTCCTGCCCTGGCCTCCCAAAGTGCTGGGATTATAGGCATGAACCACTGTGTCCAACCCTATAGTAAGTTTTGAAATCAGGATTGTTTTGGCTATTCTTGGTCTCTTGAATTTCCATATGAATTTTAGGATGAGCCTGTCAATTTCCACAAAAAAGCCAGTTGGGGCTTTGACAGGGATTGTACTTAATCTGTAGATCAATTTAGGGAATATCACCATCTTAACAATATAGGCTTATGATCCACAAACAAAGGATGTCTTTCAATTTATTTAGATCTTCTTGAATTCCTGTGCATTTTTATTAGACTGAATTCACATCTCTTCATTGCGTCTAAGACACCTATAGATTTCCCTGTTTATTTAGCTCTCACACCTATTAAAATGGAAATATATAAATGCTGTACATCTTCAAGAGAACTCTGAGGACTATAAAGGATCTTGGGTTTCTCTATTTATTTGAAATGACTTATTAGGTGTTAAAGTCAGTGAGGTTAAGTTTTCTGCTGATTTCTGCTGATTATCTTTTATATAAAATTTATTGGAACAAAGTCATCAATGAAAACAGATGGCTTAAAACTTATACATAATGTACATGATCCTATTTACCTATATATAGTATAAAAGTATACAAGTATGTAAGAGTATAGGAAAAACTTTGGAGAAAATAAGTCCATTTTGGTCACACTGGTTAGTTATCTCTGGGGAGGAAGGAGCAATGGCATGAGAAAGAAGAGGATTAGTACTCTTTACTAGTATTTTTTCTGTAAAAATGTTTTCGTCTATTTCTGGTATAATTTTAAATAGGAATAATGATAAATATAACTATGCCACAGTAAAAACTATGCCTCAATTTTTTCACTACATATCACCCTAAGAGTAAATAACTGGCCGGGCGCGGTGGCTCACGCCTGTAATCCTAGCTCTTGGGAGGCCGAGGCGGGCGGATTGCTCAAGGTCAGGAGTTCAAAACCAGCCTGAGCAAGAGTGAGACCCCGTCTCTACTATAAATAGAAAGAAATTAATTGGCCAACTGATATATATATAAAAAATTAGCCGGGCATGGTGGCACATGCCTGTAGTCCCAGCTACTCGGGAGGCTGAGGCAGGAGGATCGCTTGAGCCCAGGAGTTTGAGGTTGCTGTGAGCTAGGCTGACGCCACGGCACTCACTCTAGCCTGGACAACAAAGCGAAACTCTGTCTCAAAAAAAAAAAAAAAAGAAAAAAAAAGAGTAAATAACTGGCTGACCTTAAGATCACAGGTGGTGTTGAGCAGCAGGTTGGAAGGCTTGAGGTCACGGTGCAGAACGTTGGCTGAGTGGATGTATTTTAATCCTCTTAGGATCTGGTAAAGAAAATAGCAGATATGGTCGTTGCTGAGGTGTTGTGTCTTCAAGAGCTTGTAAAGATCTGTTTCCATGAGGTCCTGTACTATATATCTGTTCGAACAGGTTAAGGTAAAATATCAATTAGCTGGTTACTCTTAGCCAAGCACTGAAAACAAAATGTACCTTCTCTTTACCTTCTTCCCAAACAGTCCATCCTGAGGCCCTTAAGGGAAAGAAGAAACTGATGAAAACTTGGTATACTTTCACAAAGGAATCTGAAGCAGTTAGCTCCTTTTAAGTCCTGTGTGACAACAGGCATTACACCTGCCTGATGTGTCTGGTTATGGGTCTAGACTAAGACCAGAAACAGGCTGTTATGGAAATACTGGCCAATCCTGAAGTCTCAATAACTTTGTTCCCTAAATTGTTCACCATCAACAGACCCCCTCTAAGGCTTGTTGGAAAAGGCTGGGAAAGGGTGGTGGCCAGCAGACACCATGGACTCCTTCCTCTCTTTGGCCCAGTAACAACCCCTAACGCCACTATTCTTTCTCCTTCCTTCTTGCCACTCCTCTCCTCCCCTTGCAAACTCCTCAAAACCAACTATAAAACTTCTGGAGATACAGGTCTAGAAATACACTGCTGCTACTACTCAATCCAACCCTAAGTCTATTTTCTTGGCTCTTCAATTAATGTTAAGATCCTAAATAAGTAAGACCTGGGGAAGTCATGCTAAGAAGGAGTTTATGCTAATTTTGCTTTCTTGGCAAAGCCATGTATCTAAGCACCTAAAACTTTAGCTACAGGTATCTTCTTTCTTTTTATTTTATTTTTTTTCGTTTTTGTTTTTGTTTTTGTTTTTTTTTGAGACAGAGTCTCACTCTGCTGCCTGGGCTAGAGTGCCGTGGCATCAGCCTAGCTCACAGCAACCTCAAACTCCAGGGCTTAAGTGATCCTTCTGCTTCAGCCTCCCCAGTAGCTGGGACTACAGGCATGCACCACCATGCCCGACTAATTTTTTTTCTACATATTTTTAGTTGGCCAATTAATTTCTTTCTATTTTTAGTAGAGATGGGGTCTTGCTCTTGCTCAGGCTGGTTTCAAACTCCTGATCTTGAGCGATCCTCCCACCTCGGCCTCCCATAGTGCTAGGATTACAGGTGTGAGCCACCACGCCTGGCCTGCTATCTTCCTTCCTTTCTTTTTTTTTTTTTTGAGACAGAGTCTCACTTTCTTGCCTAGGCTAGAGTGAGTGCCGTGGCGTCAGCCTAGCTCACAGCAACCTCAAACTCCTGGGCTCAAGCGATCCTCCTGCCTCAGCCTCCCGAGTAGCTGGGGCTACAGGCACGAGCCACCATGCCTGGCTGATTTATATATATATATATATTAGTTGGCCAATTAATTTCTTTCTATTTTTTTTATGGTAGAGACGGGGTCTCGCTCAGGCTGGCTTTGAACTCCTGACCTTGAGCAATCTGCCCACCTCGGCCTCCCAGAGTGCTAGGATTACAGGCGTGAGCCACCGCGCCCGGCTTATCTTCTTTCTTAAAGAAATTAAATTATAAAGGCCTTTAGCTTTTAACTTCACCATAATATTATTTCATTTTGCATTTCTTTTATTCATTTCTGTGTAGACACTATTCTCTGTCCCCTACAGATTCATGCTAGATGAGCAAAAGGTAAAGCAGGACCAACAGGTGGTAGTGGCAGGAGGAATTTCACTTCAAATATCGCTGCAACTTATTAACAGAGCCGTTTAAAAATGGAAAGGGCTGCCTAGAGACAGCGAGCTGCCGCTCCCTGGAGAGGAGGAATGCAAATTGGACAAGCTGGTAGGAATGCTGTATTAACCTAACTTTTTTTCTTCTGGCAGATCCTCTTTCCAATGTACCTTTACACAGGCAGCATCCTCTGGACCTGCTTAGGCCAGATTTCTGAATGTCAGTCATAGTCATATGATTTCAGAGATGAGTCGGCCTTAAAGATCATGAGGGCCAGGCTCCTTCATTTCAAAGATGAGGCAGTCCTGATTTCACCAGGTAGATATCCAGGGAGCCCTCTTTCTTCATCTATAACTCTTTCCCTTCCCTTTCCCCCATCTTAACAAACCATCCTTTGAATGAAAAAAAACATTACTGGAAATACAGGCTGGGCGCGGTGGTTCCTAGCACTATGGGAGGCCAAAGCGGGAGGAGGCTCAAGGTCAGGAGTTCAAAACCAGCCAGAGTAAGAGCAAAACCCCGTCTGTACTAAAAATACAAAGAAATTAATTGGCCAACTAAAAATACAGAGAAAAAAAATTAGCCAGGCATGGTGGCGCATGCCTGTAGTCCCAGCTACTCAGGAGGCTGAGGCAGAAGGATCGCTTAAGCCCTGGAGTTTGAGGTTGCTGTGAGCTAGGCTGACGCCACGGCACTCTAGCCAGGGCAACAGAGTGAGACTCTGTCTCAAAAAAAAGAGAAAGAAATATTAACCAAGACTTATTTCCATACCTTTACTTAAAGAAAACTCTTTATAGAAACTGAAAGAGAAAATATTAGACTTACCTAAAAGATACTAAATTAGTTACTGACAACTGGTGAAACAAATTAGATAAAAACTTTAAATGATGCAAATATTAAGGTAAATGGAAAGCAGATTACAATTTCCCCTTTAGTGTGCTTTATGCAGTTTTCTTTTATTCTAAGTCGAGGAAATTTCAAGTTATATTTACTCAACAAGGTGACCAAGCAGTGGAATCAGCCAGTTGCCTGAAAAGGATACACATCTTTCATTTGCTCGATGGTTGGAGCTCGAATGATATCATTGATTCCAATGATGTTCTCATGTCTGAAGCGCAGCAAGATTTTTATCTCCCTCAGGGTTCTCTGGCAGTAGGTCTGGTGCTCAAAAGGACTGATTTTTTTGATAGCTACTCGAACTTTGTTGACATTATCATAAGCAGAGCTTAAAAAGAGAGAGAGAGAGAGAGATAGCATTAAAAACAGCCCACCAGAACATCTTGGCAGAAAGAGTGCAAAGTGGTAAAGTATTACATTTTTAACACTCCATGTAAACACTTGTTTCATACCCTTGAAGGTGGCATGTATTATCACCCACAAAAAGGCCTTAAGCTAGGGAGGATGGATGCAGCTGACACAAGATCACAGATACTGAAGCTCAAAGTTGACAGAGGGCCCAAGCCTGTGAACTGTGTGGAAGCCATTTTCGTAACATTGGCCATTTTCGTAAACTCAGAAACAGGGGTTCATCACACACATACACACACAAAGCATTTTCTCACTGTCTTATTAGCATTCCAGCAAGAATAATCACGTCTGCCTCCAAAAAAACTTCCTATTCTTGTACTGAATTCCTCTAACTTAGCAGAAACATTCAAATGACTGTCAACCACATCTTCATCCCTAACAAAATAGACCAAAGAGGCCAATGCCTTGAGTACTCGTATAAACTTTCTCTTACCTGCAAAATGACATGACTACTTCTTCCCCCTCCGCCACAAGAAACTGAACCAAGATGTTTGGACAGGTTTATAACAAAACCTAAGGAATATTCATCAAAAATACTTTTGTAGGAATAACACCAGACCCAGTTCTTTCCAAGCTGCCCACAGGTCTGGCTTAATAGAATTCCAAGCAGAAGCAATAATAAAAATTGTATCTTTGATTTTATGATAAAATTGAATCTTGAGTATTACTGCTATCTTTATGATTAATATTTTACTAAAACCTTTTCATATTAATAAAAGTTCATATCTGGCCCATTGACCAAAGCAATGCAGTAATATTGACAGGTAATAAGATATTACTTCTTGCTTCCTCAGGGTAAGTACTAGAAATACAAAATAGTAAAATAACTTTATCCTAAAGCTTGTGCTTCCATAATGATATTTATTAGTTTGCTTTAAGGACTATTGATATGTCTGTCTGATTCCAGGCAAGACTATGCTCTGGGAAGGACTCTGTCTTACTCAGCTCCAATTATCCCACATGCCATTAATACACTGCACATAGGTGCCCCCAAATACTTTGAAATAAAATATATTTCTTTACTTTTCTTTTCTTTTTTTTTTTTTTGAGACAGAGTCTCGCTTTGTTGCCCAGGCTAGAGTGAGTGCCGTGGCGTCAGCCTAGCTCACAGCAACCTCAAACTCCTGGGCTCAAACGATCCTCCTGCCTCAGCCTCCCGAGTAGCTGGGACTACAGGCATGTGCCACCATGCCCGGCTAATTTTTTCTATATATATTAGTTGGCCAATTAATTTCTTTCTATTTATAGTAGAGACGGGGTCTCGCTCCTGCTCAGGCTGGTTTTGAACTCCTGACCTCGAGCAATCCACTAAAATATATTTCTTAATTAAAGGAATCACCACTCAAATCTTATTTTGCTTTGGTCTGCTGCATAAGGGCCCAAACCAGTGATTTTCAGGTAGGCAGGCAGGCAAAGAGATGTTTAGTTTAAGCAAGCTTATGCAATATTGGGAACAAATATTTTTAGAAATAAAAATTCTTTTTGAGTAATTCCAATCATAGACCATGAGAGTTCAACAAAAGCGAACACGGATTAAAATAGCTGCAAAATACTGGTTTAAACTCAATATTACAAACTTCTAGTTTTACTGTAGACAGTAGTTAAATGCAGCCATAAATTTGCTTTACAAAATTACAATCCAATGAGATTGCCGGAGGAGGAGCTTACAGTCAGAGTGTCCCCCTATTGTATTAATATCAACACTCACTCAGTTATGACATAAATAACCAACTGACCCCCTTTTAGGTAAGAAAGCATCAGATCATTTTTACCTGTTCTGTCCATGGAGTTTGGCCTGTTTCTGTCTGTTCTACCTATCCATTCCACTGCCTTTTTGGTTTACACAATCTATCTTTCACAGAACTGATCACAAAAAAGTTACATGCTTCCATAACAACTCTATATTTGCTCCTTTCTCCTTGGATTTCTCAGTCCTGTTTTATAAATTTTATTGTTCTGACACTCGGCAAGTAAGGCATATCTAGGACTTTTTTTTTTGGAGACAGAGTGAGTCTCACTCTGTTGCCCAGGCTAGAGTGCCGTGGTGTCAAAATGGCTCACAACAACCTCAATTCCTATGCTCAAGCGATCCTCCTGCCTCAGCCCTCTGCTACGCCTGGACACAGCACCGTCCATGTTTTAGTTGTTTGGCTATTTCTTCCTTTCTTTCTTTTTTTCTCTCTCTTTCCCTCCCTCTCCTCCCTCCTCTCTCTCTCGTCTTTTGCTCTCTCTCTCTCCTCGCTAATTATATCTCTACCTATTCAGTCATGGCACTTAATTTCTCTTTCTATTTATAGTAGAGACGGGTCTCTCAGAGGTGCTAGATTACAGGTGTCGAGCACTCGCCGAACTATCAGACTTTTTGGTGTCTCTTATATTTGTTGCTTTAAAATCACTTTTGATACTAACAACTTGTTTTCTGTTTTTTCTCCTAAGACTTTAACTTTGCTATCGCCTTTCTGCCCCCAACTCCTACCATAACCATCACGATTTTGCTGTTCACCTTCTGTCTTCTTCAAAACACACTTAGGCCAGCATGTGGCTCATCGCCTGTCATCCTTCGGGACGACTTTGGGAGGCTGCAGCGCAGGCGCGGAGCTTGAGGTTAGGAGTTCAAAACCAGCCTAAGCAAGAGGGAGACCCTGTCTCTACTATAAATAGAAAGAACTTAATTGGCCAACTAATATATATATATGGAAAAAATTAGCTGGGCATGGTGGCACATGCCTGTAGTCCCAGCTACTCAGGAGGCTGAGGCAGAGGGATCACTTGAGCCCAAAAGTTTGAGGTTGCTGTGAGCCAGGGTGATGCCACGGCACTCACTCTAGCCTAGGCAACAAAGGGAGACTCTGGCTCAAAAAAAAAAACACAACTTACGGTTCCAGTTTGGGATTTTCATCCAATTTGTGATTTCTTTTTTTTTTTGAGACAGAGTCTCGCTTTGTTGCCCAGGCTAGAGTGAGTGCCGTGGCGTCAGCCTAGCTCACAGCAACTTCAAACTCCTGGGCTCAAGCGATCCTCCTGCCTCAGCCTCCCGAGTAGCTGGGACTACAGGCATGAGCCACCATGCCCGGCTAATTTTTTCTATATATATTAGTTGGCCAATTA